GGGGGGGGGCGCGGGGGATTGATCTCAGATGAAATGGGTAATACTTTGATTGAAATGCAATGTGAAAATTCTGAAACAGGACATTTAAATTCGCTGCCTGGGGTGGGGAGGGGAATGGGGATCGGAAGCGACGCTTGTGGTTCTTAAAAGCATTTTTACTTGGGAAAGCCAGGCAGGGAAAGGAAAGGTCAACGTCTGTTTAATTTCCACCCCCAGCCCTGGACTTCCAGCTTTAGCTCGCCGGCCTCAGCTGTTGTACACACACGGCGAGGGGGAGGGGAGGGCGGAGGCGCGGAGGAGGGGCCGGCTGGGAGGAATCTGGGCGTCCTGCCGCGCATGCGCCTTTCCCGAGCAACAAGTGGGCTCCACAGACAGAGGAAGTGTAAAGGGGGGTGGAGAGACTGGTGCAGAGCATGGCGGTGACGTCAGCGCTCCGCCCGGGCGGCATCCCGCGCGGCCAAGCCGGGGACAGCGCGAGCCGCAGCCCGAGCAGGAGCGCCGAGACGCGCCTCCGGAACGTAGAGTAACAATCACAACCCCACATTCCGGGCGAGCACGAGCGGGAAGGGATGCGACCCGGGCCGAGGCGCCGCGCGAGCGCCCTGCAGCCAACGTGAGCGCCGCCAACCGCGGCGGCCCGGGCGCCGGCCAGGCCAGGGGGCGGCGGGAGCCTGCGTGCGTGCGCTCCTCTCCTCTGCTCTCGTGCGTCCTGGAAGCGGTGGCCGCTGCGGCTCCCTCCGGCGTGCAAACCCTGCCGCCAACAACGGAACGGCCGACCCTGCGGAGGGGAGAAGCTCCTCTCGGCTGCCACCCCTCCCCCGGCCCTCCAGGGAAGCAGCGGCTTCAGCAAGATTGGACCCGGGCACCGGGTGGCACAGCCCTCTAGCCCTCGCCCCAGGGTGCCTGGCGGGGAGAGGACGCAGCTCGTAGGGGGCCCCCCAGGGGAGAGGAAGAGGCAGCCCCGTTCGAGCTTTCACGCACCAGCCACTCCGGGGAGGGGGCCAAGAGGCAACGGCGGCCAGCACCGGACACCCTCGCCCCCTCCCCCCGGGCCCGGAGCTTCCAACCCCGATCTGCCGCACCAGGAAGAAGGCGCCTGGGCTCGTTTCCCGACGAGACAGCCGCAGTAGGAGGTGGGGGCGAGGTGCGGGCTGAACCCGTCCGCCGCCCCGGCGGTGGAGCCCCCGCGGAGAGGCCCTGCGCCGGCGGTGGAGACTCGAGCTCCCTCCAGCCCCGGGGGCAGAACTTTCTCGCCCCCCCTCGTCCCTCCCCCGCAGCCGGACTCCCTCCCCAGCCAGCCAGTCCTCCCGGAGGAGAAGGCGCCGCGGAGACAGCCCGGGCGGGGGCCTCCCTTACCCAGGGCTGGCATCATGTCGGCGGCGCAGGTGTCCTCGTCCCGAAGACAGTCTTGCTACCTGTGCGACCTGCCCCGTATGCCCTGGGCCATGATCTGGGACTTCTCCGAACCTGTGTGCCGCGGTTGCGTCAACTACGAAGGCGCAGATCGCATAGAGTTCGTGATCGAGACCGCGCGCCAGCTGAAGCGGGCTCACGGCTGCTTCCAGGACGGCCGCTCCCCCGGGCCGCCGCCGCCCGTCGGGGTCAAGACGGTGGCCCTG